ACGACGACGACGACGACGACGACGACGACGACGACGACGACGACGACGACGACGACGACGACGACGACGACGACGACGACGACGACGACGACGACGACGACGACGACGACGACGACGACGACGACGACGACGACGACGACGACGAACGACGACGACGACGACGACGACGACGACGACGACGACGACGACGACGACGACCGACGACCGACGACCGACGACCGACGACGACGACGACGACGAACGACGGACGACGGACGACGGACGACGGACGACGGACGACGGACGACGGACGACGGACGACGGACGACAGACGACGGACGGACGACGACGACGAAGGACGACGGACGAGGACGACGACGACGACGACGCCGCGGACGACATTTGCACTGCGCCACAGAACTCTCCCTCGACGGCACGCGCAGGGCAGGGTCGAGAGATGCCACTGCGGCCCGTGGCGGTCAGGGCCCCCCTCGAGGAGGCCTGGAAAGCTCCGGCTCCTGCTCTTCCCTCTCCCCATCGTCGTCCTCATCCTCGCCCCGCTCCTCCCCTGGGGTCTGAGGAGAGGCTGCCCGACGGCCCGCGGGGGCTCGGGCGCGAGCGGCGGGCCGCGCCCATCGGTGCGCTCCCCCCTCCCCCTCCGCGAGGACCTCGGGCGCCGCGCGGTCTGCCTGCTCGAGTCCGACGGCCTGGTGCGGTGCGTGCCCCTCGTCGGGGTGTGGGTCGACCTGGCGGGGGGGCACCGCGAGGGTCATCGGCGGCGAGCGAGGGAGGGGGGGAAGCGACCCTGACCTTCCAGGAGGGCTAAGAAATAGCACCAGGACGTCGACGTCCTAATTCCTGTCGAGGTTTGAGGCGGTCCAGATAGATCTGTAGGTCTGGAGTGCTGTTTTCTAGCACTCTGGAAGGTCAGGGGAGAAGGGGCGGGCCTTCCCAGAAGGCGCTCGAAGCCCCCCGGCCCTCCAGGAAGCGTTCTGAAATCGAGCCTTCCCCGCAGGCGCAGGGAATGTCTCAGAAGGCACGCGCGGGGGGGGCTGGTGAGGAGTCTCGGCGCCTGCTGCGAAGGCCTTCTCCTTCTCATTCCCCCCCCCCTTCGCTCGCCGCCAAGGTCAGGCCACTCCGGCGGCCTGCTGGGACGCGAGCGGGGTGGTCGACAGCCCCCTCGTCTGGGCGGCGGCCGCGCGTTTCGTGTGCGCCTCGGCCCTGGTCGAGGATCGGAGGAGGAAGAGGCGAGGGCACCCCTGCCGCTGCCCTCGGCACGCTTTTCTTCTTGTCCGGGGCCTCCCGGGAGGCCCTCGTCGCCACCGCTGGGGTCGCTTCGCAACGTTTGCCAGGCTGCACTCCGAGAGCAGCCCGGGGATTCCGAGCAGCGGTAGCGGTGCTCTTGGTGTCTCCAGGGAGGGAGCCCGAGGATCGAAGAGTGCGCGCCGGCTCGCAGGGCTCGGCCTCCGGAGGCCCGGGGTCGGAGACTGGGATCCGTCATGCGGAGTTCTGGGCGCATCGCGTAGCCCCACTGCCAGTTCACTCGCATTGTGCATCAGCTACCCTGGCCGTTTGCAGGCAGCTCAGCCAGCCTCCCATCAGCCCGCGGCCCCACCGGCAGCAGGTTCTGAGCGCGGGCTCGGCCGCTGTGCTTTTAGGCCTGCGCGTTGCTGATTTGACAGGCCCGTGGCCCCGACCTCTCAGTTCGGCGACTGCGAATCCGCGTCCGCCCGCGACCCCTCCCAAAAAAAGCCCCACTGCCCCATCCAGAAACGATGCCCAGGTGGGCTACCCTGACCGGGGGACGTGGAGGAGCATGCCTCGGACATGCAGGGATTGGGAAGCCGTCGTACCCCAAGCGGGGGGGGATGGAGGAGGAGTCGGAGGAGCAGGCGGAGGAAGAGAAGGAGGATGAGGAGGGGAATGGGGAGGGAGGGGAAGGAAGAGGGAGAAGGGAGGAGGAGGAAGAGGAGGAGGAGGAGGAGGAGGAGGAGGAGGAATAGGCGCATGAGGGAAAGGAAGAGAAGGATGAGGGCGAGCAGAAGGGCCAGAGGCCTCTCTGATGCCTCTCGGAGTCTCTTCGGATGTCTTTTGGGAGCTTCTTGGAGTCCTCTTGGGGCGTCTTGGGGGCATCTTGGCGGTCCCGGGGGGCATATAGGGGGCGTCTTGGGAGCATCTTGGGGATCGTTTCTTTGGTTCTTGGGGCCTCCTGGGCGCCTCTTGGGGCGCTTGTGGGGACACTCCCGTGAGCCTTGGGGCCATCTCGGGACCGTTTTGGAGGATTTCGATCAAAAAGGGTCCCACCTCGCGAACCCTCCTCTCCAGCCCCAGGGGAGGGGGTAAGGGGGAGGGGCCAGTCTAGTTCCCCACAGGGGCCGCTATCGACAACCATCGCGAACCAATGCAGACGCCAGCCAGGTGCGCGAAGCCCGCGAGGTGCGCCGAACATGAAAGCTGCACCACGCGCACCAGCTGCGCCACATTTGGCAATCTGTCGACTTTCCCACCGTCCCTGTTCGAAACCAATGCGAAGTGGCGGCGGGATTGTTGTGTGTGGGTGTGCGCCCACGATCGCTTTGCAGTTGTTCCCAACCATCCTGTGGCGTTGGGTCTTCGTTTTGAAGAGAGCGCCCTCCTCCCCCTCCTCCTTCCTCCCCCTCCTCCTCCCATTCCTGCCGCTGCCCTCCGCATGTCTGTGTTTCGGCACGCCCAGCTTCCAACGCTTCGTGGCCCCGTAGGGAGCTCCACCGAAAGCCCCAGCGGTAGGGTCCACATCAAGGCGTCGCCCCATTTTGGCGCACCCTTCGCACGATTCGTAGCCACATAGGGAGCTCCACCGAAGGGCCCAGTAGCAGGGTCCACATGGCGGCGTCGCCCCATTTTGGCGCACCAGGCAGACGGTTCTTGGCCCCACAGGGAGCCCCACCGAAGGCCCCAGCGGCAGGGTCCACATGGCGGCGCCGCCCCACTTTGGCGCACCCCTCTGACCCCATAGGGAGATCAGCCGACGGCCTCGACGGCAGGGTCCACATGGCGGTGCCCTTCCATTTTGACGCACCCTTCACACGCTGTGTGGCCTCAAGGGGAGGCCCCACCGAAGGCCCCAGTGGCGGGGTTCAAAGCAGTGCCGCCCAATATGGCGCACCCCGCAGACGGTTCGTGGCACCGTCAGGAGTTCCACCGAAGGTCCCAGTGGCGGGCTTCGCGTGGCGGTGCCGCCCCATGCTTGCGCACCCGGCAGACGGTTCGTGGCGCCATAGGGAGTTCCACCGAAGTTCGTACTTGCATGCGGCTGGGTCCGTCGCCAGGGAATTGTCCTTTAATAGGCATGGTGGGCCTGCGCGCAGGAGGGAATATGCCGTCCCCCCGCCGTCCTTCGCAAAATCAGCTCGTGGTTACAGAGCTTAGTTTCAAAGGGATGGTGGGCATGCACCCAGCAGTCAATATGCCGACGCCTCCGCCACCCCTGACAAAAACCAATGCAATGTGAACGCGATGCGTCCGCGCATGTTTCGGGTGTTGGTGCAACGTGCGTGTTGTGCTGTTTTCCCAACCCTCTTGCGTTGGGTTCTCTTCTTGGCAAGAGCATTGTGGCCTCAATCCTTCCGCCTCCGTTTTCCTCCCCGCCTCCACCCTCTTGCTGTTGGCCTCCTGCCTTATTCCCAGCCCTCTCTTGGTTGGGGGCTTGGTTTTAATAGGGCACTGTGGTCTCCCTCTCCTTCATCTCGGAGGAGGAGGAGGAGGAGCTAGGAAGTGCGAGGAGGAGGGCGAGGAAGGGAGAAGGAGGAGTCCTCCATCCTCCTGCCTCCTCCTGCGCTGCTCCTTCGGGGGGCTCCGTGGTCTCCGTCACCTCCCCTCTCTCCTCTCCTCCTTCTCATTATCCCTCCTTCTTATTTGCCTCCTGCTGCTCCTCCTGCTTTTTGGCTCTCCTGCTGCTCCTCTTCCTCCTCCTCGTTCTTTTCCTCTTCCTCCTCCTCCTCCTCCTCCATTCTTCTCCTTACAACTAACTCCTCCCGGTCGACCCCGAGGCCAGTCGGAAGGGCGGGCTGGGCGTATCGTTTGAGATGTCCTTGCCATCTCTGATCTGGAAACTTACCAGTTGACAACAGTTTCACAAATCGAGGGCGGGCGGTTTTCAAAATGTAGCTCTCGCCTTAGCTCCGCGCACATTCGTTTTAACACTGCGCGAGGGTTTCACGCATTGAGGGCGGGCCGTTTTCAATATGTGGTTCTCGCTTTAGTGCCGCGCACATTCATCGTAAACATTTGCAGAGCTGTCACGGGTTGAGGGCGGTTTGCAACATGCGGCTCTCGCCCTAGCGCCGCGCGCATTTGGTTCAAATGTTCAAGAGTTTCACGCATAGGGGGCGGTTAATTTTCACATGTGTTTCTCGCCTTCGCTCTCCGCACATTCCGTCAAGACGCAACGGTCGGGTTGATATTTGTGGCGGTGGAGTCCGGACAATGATGTCATGGCACGCTTCAGGATCTTCAAACCTATGCCTCTCAACGGAGCATTTTCCTCAGTGGAAATGAACCCTTGTAGGGGCCTATGAAGAGGAAGCTTGAAGGGAGAGTTGAGTCCAACATCTCTGTTTTGGGTTTAAACTGGTCCTCCTCATCCGGGATCCTGGTTTCGGGAATAGTCTGGCGGGACTGCGGCGCGCCCCCTTGGGTTTAAGACCTAGTTTTGTTTCTGATTGGTGATATTCAGGGGGGGCTAGAGGCCCGAAATCGCGGCAGTTATGTCGGTCCTAAGGCAATCCGAGGTTGCTGGAGTCACCCTTATGCCCCCAGAGGTGTCTGTCTGTCCTCCTCCTCCTCCTCCTCCTCCTCCTCTTCCTCCTCCTCTTCCTCCTCCGCCTCTTCCTCCTCCTCTTCCTCCCCCCCCCGCCTCCCTCCTCCTCCTCCTCTTCCTGGTCCTCCTCTTCCTGGTCCTCCACCTCCTCCTCCTGATCCTCCTCCTCCTCCTCCTCCTATTGACTGTGACCGTCCTGTTTGGAAATGTCCTTCGGCTTACCGAGCCAATTGCAAAGCGAGGAATTCTGATCTTAACGTTTGGACCCATGGTCAGAGTGAGGCTGCCGAACGGTCATTCATTGTCCCTGGGTGCGTGGCTGAACAAGAATTCGTGGTGAGAATTCTGCTTGTTGCGTTGTTGTTGTCGTCGTCGTTGTCGTTGCTGTCGTTGTTGTTGTTGTCGTTGTCGTTGTGGTTGTGGTTGTGGTTGTGGTTGTGGTTGTGGTTGTGGTTGTTGTTGCTGTTGATGTTGGTGTTGCTGTTGTTACTGTTGTTGCTATTGTTGCTGCTGTTGCTGTTGTTGTTGATATTGTTGTTTTTGCAGTTGTTCTTGTTGCAAATACCCATTCCAAATAATAATTGTTGTTGATCTCCGGAAACGGTTTTGGGCGCCATTCCTTCAGATCCACATGGGGGTGGCGGAGACGGGGGGGGCGATCAAACCGCCGCTGAGTGAGCCAAGGGGTGTTCAAAACACAACCAAACACGCTCAAAACACAACCAAACGCACGCGGCTGCACAACAATGCGCAACGTCCATGGATGCCGCTATGGAGGAGGGCCGCCACGCGAGACCACTTCGACGCAGCGGGTCTGTAGAATGGGCGCTTTGCAACAATATTTCGGTGCAATCACACAACAGCGTAACAGATATAACGACGCAGAGGTTTCGTACATTTACACAAGCGAACCGCCGCCAGAAGCCTGATCGGACCCCTTGGCGGTATCCCCAAGTCCACTGCGCCTGCAAGCATAAACCAGTTGCAAAATGACGACAGCAACGCATCGTTCCTGCAACGCACAACGTACCACAAATCCGGATCATCATTATTTCGGCATGTGCATCTGTATTTGCACATGCACATGTGCATATGTTTGTGCGTTTGCACTTTGCAAGCCCCCCGGAGGACGAGCCCCCCGAGGCATCCAAAGGCTTCCAGACATCCCCGACGACCCCCGAAGAGCCCAAGCAGACACCAGGGACCACAAAGGGTCTCCGAGGGCTGCCATGGACCTCCGAGGATCGCAAGGGGGATTCCCGGAGACCACCGAAAGCCGCCAGAGGCAACCGAAGCCCCCCGAAACCCACCGGCCCCCAAGACGATCACCAGGACCGCGAGCCCTGGCGGCTTCCAAGGGTCCCGAGGACCCTGGAAAGGCTCGGGGCTTCCGAGAGCCTCCAGGGGC